ACTTCGATATTTCAAAGCCTTCCTATTATTTTTTCAGCGTCAAGGATTTATTACAAAATATGGGTGACAATTTTACCGCAGATGAGGTGAGTAGAAAAAAGACACAACATGCAGTCTCCGTCATGTATCTGGAAGTCGTATTTAAGAAACGAATAAGGTGATAGGAATTAACATTTTAAGGACCAAATTTGTACCATCTTTGTCGATAAGCTATTCCTGGTTTCCTGATTGAATTACAAATCAGCCGTTTAAGGTTCTTGTCAGAAAATAAGTCATTTTAAAGCGAATTGAGGATATGTCAATATGGCATTTGAACATCTCTTGGACCTACAACTATTGGTTGTAAAAGCACCACTCTATGTAAGTAAACTCGATTTAGAAGATGCAATTCAGCTGTTAAACAGAAACAGCTTTCACAACTTCACATTGGTTACTGGATATGTATAAACAGTACCGGCTATGTTGTAGGCCTCAGCACTGCACCAACATTGTCTCAGTGGTAAATCAATGTTCATTCTTCGTGTTCAGATCAAGCAGACATGGAAGGAATCCCCCATTGAAAAAGGCTTGTTCGACTACAATGAATTTGTATCTAAAATCAAGGGTAAACAAGACGAGGAGGAAATGGCAGCAGCCTAGTCTAGATGAACATCTAGTCTGACATCAACCCACACTTCTTAGCCTCTGACCCTCCCCATAGCCCCCGGGGACCCTATCTGTGATAGCACTGCCCCAGGGGCACGAATCACACTAATCCACCCAAGCGGAAGCCACAAAATGATCCCGGGGTCTTAGGCAAAGGGGGATGCGTATAGATTATATTAGATTCTAAAACCTTTCACCGGAAGCTCTCGGGCCAAAGAGTGTACAGCATTCCATTTTCTGATTGGATGATAATAAGCCAATGGCGGCAGGGTTCAACTACCATCACCACTCCCGGACTCTGGATAGGAGCGCTCAAAGTCACTTCAGCTAAAAACAAGACAGCACCAAGGTGCAGACCACCTGCCCAATTTGGTGCGCTTACAGATGCCTTCAGAAACACGCTACGGGGATTGAGTCTGTTGGCCGACCACCCCCTTGGTCCGTCCCCACAATGATATGTCCTGGGGAGAGACCATGGGATAGTGGTCGGTTTGTCAAACTCTGTCCTCTTAATCTGTTGGCCCGGGAACTTCTCGTACAGCCTGCCCAGGTCTCTCTATCTCTCTCTCTGTAGAACCCGTAGTCTACCCAGGGTCTCCCTTGGTCGAACTCTTTCATCTCGTCAAGTCTGTGTGAACATTTCATGATGGGGTTGGGCATGAGGATTTCTTTGAATCAAACCCAGGTCATATATATGCTGTTAAAATGTGTATAATTTTTGTTACAAGTCGGACCTGTCGTTGTATCTCACTATAAAATGACATGAAGCCTTTTGCACCCTGTCCTGGCGTGCAACGGGCTTCTGATTCACGGTAGAGCGAGGATGCGGACCTGATCTACTGTGAACCTACACCATAAGACATGGACGGTGTCTTCTTTGCATGATTTAACCCGATGTGGAATGTTTTTTGTGTCCTATTTATTTAATAAACACCTCTGTGCACAGGGTCAATGTTTTTTCTGTCCTCTTTGCCCCAAAAAAACCTACGTCTAACTACTGTTTGGAAGTTTGTTCTAAGGCCCCTTTGTCGTGACAGGATCTGATGATCAACAACGACGTGGTTGTCCGAAACGTGCCCGTGGTCGTATTGATCTGAGACCTGAATCGCTTTTGCCTTTACTTCCCACCATACTGCAAAAAGCGGCTTTAACCAAAGCTCACACCCTCACTCACTTATCGCCCTTTGAACCAGAATTTGATACCCCTCATTACTAAATCCCTGTTTAACTCTTGTGTGAAGTTCCTCCCATACCTCGTTTGGATAAATAACACAGCTATGGATAGCCTATATCAAGTTCAGATGAGACAAGGAATGGGTACAAGACATGAAGTTGGTTATTCGGTTATCACGCGAGTTCTTCGTAGGCTCATACATTACTGGAATTACGACTGGAATTAATGTTTTCTCTGTAAAATCGTTTTGTTTAGTTACAAACAGGAACCTATGGTTTTCTTTTCCAAATTTCACGATTTTGAAAATAGATCAGGCAAATAGTTTCTGTACATGTTGTCCGTGCATAGCTGAACTTGAGGTGGCAGTCGGTTGTTTTTAATACTGATTAATTTATTGCAATGTGGATGTAAACTCGTTTATTAATTCCAGTTAATTAATACTTTTCTAGCCCTTTCAAGAATGAAAGTTAATATGTGTGAAGATATGATCTAGAAAAGCCACATCTGTTCTAATTTGGCGATTATTTACAGATGGCATAAATAGGACCTATTGACTCGTTGTGCTGTTAATCTGCAACACATCGCAGTATGTAATCACAGTGAAAGTAATTTCGGGAATATATAGAGGATATTTCATGTGTCGAGTGAAATATCTTGTTTCTCTCACCGTGTGACGTGAGGAAAGGATATATTTTCACGAGTGGCGTAACCACGAGTGAAAATATCCCCCTTTCCCTCGTCACGAGATTAGGGAAACATGATATTTCACAAGATATATAAAATATCCTATTTATTATATACTTTTTGTGTCGGTGTCTACCGGAAAATGAAATTATTTCATTACCTTGTAAATGTAAAACCTTGAAACGTAAATTCTCCCTACCGAAAACATAGGGACGGTTCACCGCCCGTTGTAATTGCGACTTGAAAAGTAGTTCCGTGTTTGCACAATCTTAAACAATATAAACAAAATTATCAATAATTCTTTAGGGTCACGAAAATTCTTTAACACACATTTACATATGATCATAAACAGAAAACTAGAAGACCGCTATTGGAAGCGAAAGAATACAATATGGTCAAGTGACAAAAATGGCGCTTTGAGAAACGAACAGTCTCGATTGACGAGTAAAATGAGAAATTTACAGTTTATAACGAGACATTTTCGAGAGAATAAAAGACGACAAGAAGTGATATTAACTCCATAAATGACCATCTGTCAATATTATTTCTTGCCAATGTTAAATGTGAAAAAATACCGTCAACAGTTTGTGTACAGGCTTCGCACTTACGATAAAGGGAGACAATTTAAGGGGAGGTAATTCTTGTATTACAATAGTTCCGCTATGTTCACTGCAGTGAAAAAATCACTTTTCTCAACTTCAGAAAACTGAGTCTTTCACACTGAAATATAAAATAAAATCTTTTCAATCAGGTTTCAATAAGACAACGCTACACAGTCGTAAAGTTGAACCACCCTAAATCTGAGAAGTCTTGGTAAAGGCGTCTTTCTTTTTGCCAGCACCAACATATAATCACAAAGATGTCCAACACAATATGCCATATCATATCATAACCTAATATATCATATCCTATATCATATCATTTGTATGATGAATGCCAGAATGTTGTACAAGTCTCATAACGTAAACAGCATCATGTGAAACTAACTCAAGTTATCAACATAATGAAACGAAACAGTGACAGACTATTTTGAGTGAGTGGGTTTGGCTTTACGCTGCCTAAAAAAAGTATTCCAGTTATATCACGGCGTGTCAGCTTAATTTGGGAGGAAAACCTGAAGTGACGCAGGTCTTAGACGTTTACCACTTTGGTGACACCCGCGAGCACGTGCATGAGTGGACAAACCTAGAAACACTATCAGGGCGAGTTTTGGATTCGAACCCTTGACCATAGGTTTCTGGCACGCGTAAGGCGCAGACCATATGAACGCCATTGCAAAGGTCTGTAACAGGAACCAGTGGGCTGGTGCACGATCAACGCCCCAACACACCCTCCGGTACATGGGCAATCACCACCAGGAAATCCTAAGGGAATTTAAAACAGGTACTCCTTCCAGAGCTTATCAAAAGAATTTAGTGGAAAAATGACAACCACACTCAACAGTATTAAAGCATATTCGTGTGACCTGTAATTGAATGAATCTACATCATCCAATCTTCAGAATTGCATGATCACCATTCTACTTGGTCTTGGTCTGACCCTCGCCCAATATTGTAAATTCTGCTGGAGAGGATAGAATTTATTTTAGTCCATCAAAATACAGGTTTTTATCATAGGACACGCAGAGAATCCTCATGATGTGTGTCTGTTTGTTGTTTAACACAATGTTCCAGCTTAATTACTGCGGTTTGTAAATTGTCTAGTCTGAATCCGGTGATTGATATCATGAGCATCGATCCACGCAAATGGGATAACAGGACATGCATCATCAAAGGGAGCGAGCCTGACCACCCGATCTGTTAGTCGCCTTTTACATCAAGCATGAGTTGCTGAAGACCTATTCGGACCCGATCTTCACGGCTTGTAAATTAGGTCTTATATTGAAGAGCCAAAAGGATCATTTTCAAAATTAAGCAATCTGCACATAAATCTCTATCAAAACCCTTTTTATATTTCAAATTTCAATCCTTCAAAAACACCTTAAAAAATTTACATAACAATCTACATGTATGTGTGAGTGAGTTTTGTTTGACCCTGCTTTGAACACTTAGTCTATGAAAACATTTCTCTAAAATAATGTTGTTTTCTTCAAAAGAACCTTTCCTCTTCTGCTATTGTGTAATCAAGGAAGCTAGACTTGGTTTAGTTTGATCTAGACTTTATATATATATATATATATATATATATATATATATATATATAAAAATAAAGCTTGATGTAGGAGGAAAGTACCAGGTGAAAACCTATGTGAATTAGGCGATAAAAATACTTTGTTTTCAATATAGAGCTAGGTTATCTGTAGCTTTAACAATGATAAATTGAACCTGTTCTATTCAGTTCAGTTCCAAAGCACTGTTAATCTACAGGAAGCCGTGCTCTACATTGAAAACACTATGTTTATCTCCTAAATGAATACACACTTTACATCTGGTATATACCTGGATAGACTTTTCCCTTAAACATGTAAAACAAGTTATGAAACACAACAAAGTAATACTTTTTCATAAAACATATTTATTATAGTTACCAAGATAATTACATCACTGACCTAGTATCTGAATACGACAGACAAATAAAGCGTCATGCTGTCTTGACGGGTCACAAGGCTTAGCATATCACACAAATTGATAATCAGTAATTTCTTGCAGCCAACCAAAAGAGCAGCCCCATTTCTCAGTCATGCTAGTTGTAAATTATGACTATTGAAAATATCAATTCTGCTGATGTCATTCCCGTATCATTCATTCAGTGACTAGGGTTTTTCAAAATTTCACTTCTTGCATGATCAACTTTCAATTCAGATCTGTTGCAGTCTTCTGCATGGATGACGACGGCTTAAGTATTTCTTCACCTAAATGATCGGGAATTGAGGGCTGATTCAAACAATTTAAACATGCCTTCGCTGGTTCAAAACGTCAATCCTGAGTCAACGGTGCAAATACGAAAAAATGTCCACAAAAGAATTGTAACACTCCTTTATATAATTACAATAAAATGAAATTTCAATTCATTTTCAACAAAATAACAACAGTTGGGGAGAGTTTTTACAATGATTACATCTATATCATGTTTGCAGTTTTTGACTGACAGATTCAATGATGACTTTCCCGATCCCCCACAAACACTCCACTACCCAACTTATGTACAGTCAGATACAGTACCTACTTCCATATTACTATTTATATTTACCAAGCTAGACAGAACAAGCAGCACGAAACACGAAAACACTCAACGGATTACCAGGAACATAATCCAAATAAAATACCTGAAAGTACTGTACATAATATTTAAATAAAACATGTGCATATATTTCTTAAACCTTGAAGAAAACAACATTCATTCATTCCCAAACATCCACCAATTACTCCAGATGATCTCTCAGACAGCCAGGCATTCAACACGTTTCCATGAATGTAAGGCAGTTATTATGGACACAGTCAGTGAAAGTAACATTCGTCATGACAATGGAATGATATAATCATGATAATCATAACTGGGGGAAAACGGAAGCTTTTTAATGAATGGACAACTGTGAAATGGACTAAGGGAAGTAACTCTTGCACTCAGGTCAGAGACTGGTGGCTAAAAGTCAAAGCTCTTTCACTGTCACTAAAACGCAAACGTCTTTGCTAAACTATTATCTTTATTACTGTTCTGTGGGTTTTTATTCTCTTTTCTCACTAACTGTGCCCATGACATTTGTATTAATTAAACTAACTTCTTAGCCTCAAAGAAGCTCTTTAAATGTCTCATTTGCCAGAAGCCTGTTACAAGGAGGATGAGTGTTTGGGCAATGGACCACCATAGTACTCTCTGGTTGGTGCTCTCGCTGGTAGATCGGAACCTCTCCTCTCGGTACTGAAACATAACAATACGATGTGACTGATAAACTCGGGTGACGTGGGGGTCACACTGGACTAGTCTGTCTTACAGACCCTGATACAAATATATCAACTACAGCCCATGTAAGTCTATAATGTTTGGCAAGTCTAGATTACTGCAGTATCAGGAAATGAAGAGAATCACTGGGCTACCTTTTTATTATATTTTTATTAAGATAACTGAGCAACTGTTTTTTTTCTGTACGATATGTTCATTTCAGAGACTATATGTTAGTCTAACACTGGACAAACACAATAAGTTCTTCACGTGTCTAACCCTGAAACGGCATATCATGTACAGCTAATGAAATCTGAATACACACAAGGGCATTAAGAACTGTAGAGAAGGATTATTGTTTGTAAGGTAAGACAAATTTCAAGATCAAAAAGATGTGGATTATTTATTCATCTCGTCAAGTCTGTCTGGAAGACAATGCTGCTTCTTGAACTATTACTTCTCAGACTTACTGGTTTGACATCCAGCAATAGTCAAGAGTTACCATCTTATCTTTCTAATATTCCACAAATCTGGCAACCAATTTATCCCAGGCATGCTACTAGTCCAGCATTCCTGCTGCCCCACTAGACCAGCCTCCCTGCTACCCCACTCGACCAGTCTCCCTAGACCCATCACCCCACCGCCCTGCTGTACCCACTAGACCAGCCTCCCTGCACCCCACCGCCCTGCTGTACCCACTAGACCAGCCTCCCTGCACCCCACCGCCCTGCTGTACCCACTAGACCAGCCTCCCTGCCCTGCTGAACCCACTAGACCAGCCTCCTCATGCAGGTGGGTCTCCTCTGCCCTGCTGTACCCACTAGACCAGCCTCCCTGCACCCAACCGCCCTGCTGTACCCACTAGACCAGCCTCCCTGCCCTGCTGTACCCACTAGACAAGCCTCCCTGCACCCCACCGCCCTGCTGTACCCACTAGACCAGCCTCCCTGCACCCCACTGCCCTGCTGTACCCACTAGACCAGCCTCCTCATGCAGGTGGGTCTCCTCTGCCCTGCTGTACCCACTAGACAAGCCTTCCTGCACCCCACCGCCCTGCTGTACCCACTAGACCAGCCTCCCTGCACCCAACCGCCCTGCTGTACCCACTAGACCAGCCTCCCTGCCCTGCTGAACCCACCAGACCAGCCTCCCTGCACCCTGTCACCCCACCGCCCTGCTGTACCCACTAGACCAGGCTCCCTGCACCCAATCACCCAATCACCCATCCGCGATGCTGTACCCACCCTCTGATAGTTCTGCTCCTTGGTGATCTGCTCCACCTGGTCCAGGAGCTGCCTCACACGCAGCTGAAGCTCACTTAGTTTGTCCTTGGCCTGGATCTGCTGGTAGTCGACTGCATGCTCTCCCACTTGCACGTCCAGGTGCACACGCTGCAGACAGACACACCAGTGTACAGTTCACGATGCAAAACCCACTATCATAAACATTTACATAATGGTATCTTGCTGGCATGGAAATTGACACTCACCTGTAGGCCTGAGTCTAGCAGAAATTACATCAAGCTAATTGAAACATTAACTGTAAATTATATTATCCTCCTGCATAATCACTGCACGATAAATTAGGCACAACCTTTTGAGTCTTCCTCGTAATGAATTTTAAAGTTCACTCAATCTATAATGATGGTATGGGAGACATTCAGCACAACGTTCTTAAGTCTTTCTGGCATTGTCTGACAATTCACATTTCCAAGTTCCCTGATCTTTATGGACTAGTAACCTTTTGCCCGGCTAGTGCTGAGGCCTTTTCCATCCCTGCCTTGTATCTTTTGATCAGCTGAATTCCCGATTTCATTATCTGATTCAGCATCTTGAAAGGTCATGTTTGTTTTGTTTGTTTGTTGTCCTCAGCAATATTCCAGCTATATGATGACGGTCTGTAAATAATCGAGTCTGGACCAGACAATCCTGTGACTGATGTTATGAGCATCAATCTACATAAATGAAATACGATGACATCCATCAACCAAGTCAGCCAGCCTGACCACCCGATTCCGTTAGTCGCCTCTTACGATATGCATAGTCGCCTCTTACGGCAAGCATGGATTGCTAAAGACCTATTCTACACCGGATCTTCACGGGTCTTGAAAGGTAATGCATAATGTTGACAGAACATACATAAATGTACAACAAGTGGATGCTGGATGTGGACTACACTTGACAAGTTCTGAAATAGGTAAAGAAATGTAGTGTAATACCACTGTTAACCAAAAGACGAAATATCAATGGTGAAAGGATGATGGTACCGACACAAAGGATCAGCTCAATGGGGAACTCACCAGTTGTCCAGCAGAGAACCAGGCTGTAGAGTTGGAGTGGAGACAAACCACGTGCTCCCCTGCTGAGTGTGAGGTGAAGGTGAACCGACCCTCAGCAGCATATGTCTGAAATGAAAGGTACGTAGATATATAGGCTTGCATGTAACCAGGGGAACATACACACTGAATCAATGGTTACTGATGGTATACAAAAAGTTTAACTTCACATATCATTGTGTTTTTTTCTTTTCAACTTCAGCCATTTTTAAGCTATGTGTGTGTGTGTGTGTGTGTGTGTGCATCTCATCTAACGCCATGAACTCAGCAATACTCCAGCCATAAAGAGGGCAGGTAAAAAAAATAATCGAGCTTCGACCAGATAATCGAGTGGATGATATTGCAAACAACGACCATGCTGTCGGGATGATGACCTGCAGTCAACTAAACAACTGATTTGTCTGTTGTTTCACGCCACACTCAGCAATATTCCAGCTCTATGACGGTGGTCTGTAAATAATCGAGTCTGGACCAGACAATCCAGTGACTGACATCATGAGCATCAATCCACAAATTTGGGATATGATGACATGCATCAACCAAGTCAGCAAGTCTTACCACCCAATCCCGTTAGTCGCCTCTTACGACAAGCATAGTCGCCTCTTACGGCAAGAATGGGTTGCTGAAGACCTATTCTACCTCGGATCTTCACGGGTCACTAAACAACGGAGTCTGACCACCGCAGCGACCCTCTGAGTGAGTGAGTGAGTGAGTGAGTGAGTGAGTGAGTGAGTGAGTATGGTTTTACGCCCTTTTTAGCAATATTCCAGCAATATCACGGCGGGGGACACCAGAAATGGGCTTCACACATTGTACCCATGTCGGGAATCGAACCCGGGTCTTCGGCGTGACGGTCAAACGCTTTAACCACTAGGGTACCCGACCGCCCCCTGATCCATTAGATGACCTCTTATGACCAGCACAGGCTGCTGGGGTGATATTCTAACCTGGCATCCCCATGTTTTTTTCAGCTACATCATGGCAACCAGTGAAGTAACTGAGGTTCAACCAAGTGGTCAATTGTGCCAGCATCAATTCTGGTACATCAACGCAAAAAGCACAGCAGACGGATTGTCAAAAAGGTGGTTGTTCGTCCAAATAACAGCCAGTGTGACTACCCAATCTCCATGGTCTGTGAGAAACTGAGTACTGCTTGTATTGGGGACCTGTGACCTGAGTATGTTTCCAAGCTGATTTTGACACTATTCAAGCTTGATACGCCAGGAGCAATTGTCCCATTGCCGGGAACACCAGAAACAATTGATGTTGTCAGAGGTCAAGTTGCAGTTAATATCCACATGATCAATGTCTAGATTGATTTATAGTGAGTGAGTGAGTATGGCTTTACGCCGCTTTTAGCAATATTCCATCAAAATCACGACAGGGGACACCAGAAATGGGCTTCACACATTGGACCCATGTGGGGAATTGAACCCGGGCCTTTGGCGTGACAAGCGAACACTTTAACCACTAGGCTACCACACCGCCCCCAGATTGATTCATATAACATCGTACAAGTTTGTTTGTTTGTTACTTAACGCCGCACTCAGCAATATGACGGCAGTTTGTAAATAATCGAGTCTGGACCAGACAATCCAGTGATCGACATCATGAGCATCGATCCATGCAACATACCCTCATATGAACTTTTGCCATAACAAGAATAGACAAACTACGAGGACCTTTGTCAAGTAAACAGTGATGTTTCTACATTTAAACAAAATCTTAGCATGCTCGACAAAATGCAAATAACAGGAATACAAAACATGAAATATAAAAGGCAAAATAAAAATGAAGGAAAATACAAGAAAATGAGAAACACACATGCAGGAGCAATGGTAGTCCACAGGTTGTTAATGACTCAATGAAAGAGACCAGTGAAACAGTGTGTGAGTGAGTATGATTTTACGCCGCTTTTAGCAATATTCCAGCAATATCACGGCGGGGGACACCAGAAATGGGCTTCACACATTGTACCCATGTCGGGAATCGAACCCGGGTCTTCGGCGTGACGAGCGAACGCTTAAACCACTAGGCTACCCGACCGCCCCCAGTGAAACAGTGACACCAGTGTGGAGGTATCATGCACTACAACACTAGGCAGTTGTTAAATTGGTAAACCTCGCCAACCATGTCGACAGATGACATCAAGCATGACACCTGAGTTCGCCTCACTGACCTAACTGGTAAACTTTCAGGGGTGCCCAGATTCAAACACAACCGCAGCGACCCTCTGAGTGAGTGAGTGAGTGAGTGAGTATGGTTTTACGCCCTTTTTAGCAATATTCCAGCAATATCACGGCGGGGGACACCAGAAATGGGCTTCACTGCGGGCTTCACGCATTGTACCCATGTCGGGAATCGAACCCGGGTCTTCGGTGTGACGAGCGATCGCTGTAACCACTAGGCTACCCGACCGCCCCCGCGACCCTCTGAGACCCAGGAACATCCTAACTTAGCACAAGTGGCAATCTTGATTCATGAAGGGCTATTCTGCTTCAAGGTTCATGCTTGTCATGCTATGGTAAGCTTGGGACAAGCAAAAGTCCAATGATGGTCGTCTTCATTGACTAGCAGCATTTGAGGGCTATAATTATGTACCACTTTTCTATTGCTTCAGCTTTGCTACAAATTGCAACTGGATGAAGCAGACAGAAAATGCAACCGTTGTCAACATTTCTGTTGGCAGACATTCTAGCACCAGACCATGGAGGCGATCTTAATATATCTGGACATTTCACACACTGGTTCATAATCATTATAGTACGACACATAATCAACATTGCCAATGGGTTGCATGGTGTTTCAAAATAATGAACAGAATTCCCCAAATCCTTAAAATTTTGAATGTGAAAAGTCACGAAGAGTACAGCCTCTTTGTACCACTGATCATGCTGATCATGCAGGAAATATGCTCCATGAAAAAATATTGAAAGCAGTTAAAAATAAACTCAGTTTTCCATCACCAAAAAATCTAAATACAAGTGCTTTTCAACAGCCTATGTGGTTATTGATTGTTGAGGTAGAGCAGATGTGGACAGCCATTACAGCAGATGGTGACACATAAGTGCCAATTATTCATATGATGAATGAGATCACAATAGACAGTAAGGCCAGATATTTTTTCAAATTTGGTTTACAAATCAGCTGACTCCAAAAAATTGAAATGTGAAGAAATAAAAAAATATGAAACTATTTTTAGATAAGCAGTTTTTATTCCACCGACCAGAAGTAAGTAATGATGCATCATTTACTTTCTCCCACCCCATAACCTTCTTTGGGCAACAAGTAGAAATACTGTTATATTACAGCATCCAGTTGAGGTGGCAGGAAGAGGAGATGATGGTCGAAAACATACACCATTTTGGTCTTTGGAGAAACCAAGGAGCATTATCCTGTGACAGCTAAGGGACAGAACTCTCATCTTGGACCACTGGAAAACCTGTGCTTTTAAATGCTCTACAGTAGAGTGAGTAAGTGTGCCCACTGCATCAGAGCAACACAGACACAGTTTCCAGAAGTCGACATGTTTCATTGGTATTTATTAAAAGGCCGACACTACAGGAATCAGTGGAGGGGTGGAGCAAGGACCAAAATGAATATTCATCGTGGTAGAACACAGCACCTCTATCTGAGAGGTAAGCAAAACTCTGCTGAGGGCAGTTTGGGGTCAGGAAGGGGGTCAGGAAGGGGGAACACCACTACTGTTCTCTGTCTGAATCTCTATTGCCTGGATCTGTTGACAATGCCTGACAGAAAGAGAGTAGTTACCATGGTTACCATGAATTGAAGCCAGGGAGTTATCAATGACTTCAAGCTAAACGTCTTACGCAGGCAAACTGAAAACTATCATTTTGTCAAAAAATGGCAACACATTTCCTTTAAAAGTTAGAGGCCTCTTAACATCGCATTCAATGCAAAAATGTAAACTCAGTATCAACGTCTTTCTTTCTCTGTATTGGTTCCGTTGACATAAAAATACAAATAACCTTAGCAAAACTAATCAACATAATTACAAATTTGTTCATTCCAACTTGGGAAACTTTACCAGCATTTGCCTTAATAACTCACTGGAAACCCAACATCAGCTACCTCAATGACAGCTTATCATGAGATGTAAGCCACTGACCATTAAGTTATCATCCTGGATGCTGAAGTCTTGTGCTGGGAAACCATCGTTGATTCAGTACATGATGTACACAACACTCTAATGGTTGTTTACTCGCAATCATGTTCGTATTTCCAAAGCTGTTCCTCATTTTGTGCATGCTGAGGCTAACAACTGCATTCTTGTTTTTCAAGCACTGCCTAAAACTCCTAGGTTAAAATGAAAAACTTGTGTTTCAGGTAACCATGGTAACAAGACCTTGACACAGATTAGGGTAGTGCCAACCACACAGATAAAAACATGGCAGGGTTGCAAGTAAAAATGTCATAACTGCACGTGAAAAGTCAGGGTTGCAAATAAGTCAGTGTTGCAAGTAATAATGTCAGTGCTGCAAGCAAACAATTAAGGTTTGTTTGACAAATATAGGCCGGGAAGTGAAATAACCAGTTGGTTGGGTTAGCGGAAACACAAGTATTTTTACGAAAACCTTTTTACCCACTAAAGTATGTTTGGCCATTCATAAAGTCCATAATCTGGTTATATTGGCAAGGACATAATTATTGGTCATAAATTTTATATTAGTAGATGTTTTATGCTATGACGTGAAGGTGCTAGTATCTAGATTCTGTTAGTGACAGCAAGCTACCATACATTTCCCAGCACAAAACTGTGTAGACTAACCACAGCCACAACACCAACTATCTGCAGTCAAGACAGAGATCCAGACAGGAGAACGGACAAAAGGCATCACTATCTAGCATAGCTGCATCAACAGGCATAAGTTTCAATACTTCTATGTTGTCATGGTTTATTAGACATGATAAAAGACAAGACCTCCCAAAACCAGATAAGACATTGAACATGCTGAAGATCATAAGATACCGTCTTCCTGTAAACACTGGTACATTAGAATTATTGTCAACATGTTAACACATCCAAATCTGGTACATACACAATGTATATGCAAAGGCTGGATATTTGAGTTAGTATTAATAATTAAAATAAATAAATAATTAATTTCAATCTGTCAGTCTGTCTAAATACAAAACAACTGTCTCCCAACATTATTCTCCTCAAGTACCTGCAGATGAAGAAAATCGCTGTGTGTACCATTCTTTTCTTTTTTGAAACATACAATTTTGGATTATTGCTCATTACTAATACTTTGATTAACCCCTGGTATAGTACCATCATTCGCTAAAGTAAATTCCCCAAACTTGTGCCTGTGCTGCAACTCAACCTAATGTTTCTAGGACCAGGACTAAGAAAAGACACCTCGGATCATGTAGGACTGGGGACTCACCCTGGAGAGAACTATTTTGCCCTCCGGGTCCTTGACCTCCACTAGCATACCAATACCTGGCGCTACCGGCATGTAATCTTTTACATTGTGGTCAAAAGCCTGAACTTTGTATTTGCCTGCAAACAGAGGGATTACAATCATAACACACACAAGACTATACACAGGAACATGGGAGAAGCAATCCTCACAGCATAGTATGTTGGAGTTTATGACTTGGGTCTTTGAAAGAAGACATAAATTTCCCAAGAAGTTAGTTTCCACAATGCATTGCAAATTCACAAAACTGGAACTTCACTGCAACACAGTAACCTCTCCTGAAAAAATACATTTCTCTTTCCACTGAATTTGGTTTGCAATACATGTTGATCTTATGACTGACAGTAATTTCTAATCAAGTTTACTGTGGAAGTGTCTTTGTCTATTTTATATTTTCACAATTAAAAAAATTATGCAACCTTAAAAATATTTCCATATCAATTTTAGCCATTGTGGTAATAAATGCACCCAAAATTGTATTAAAAAAATCAATAATGATACATAACTTTACCAACTCTTGTGGGTTTTCTTTAGAAGTTAGCAGTCTAGCAGAAATCAGATTGTCAATGTAATGAATTGACCCAAATGAAAAGCAGGTCAAATCTCAACAACATGCTAACGCCAGTCAGGTTGCCTCTCCCTTGAACCAACATCACACACACACATCATAACATGCACTGCACATCAGGGAGTGAGCACAGCTAGCTGACCCATCCATGCAGACTCAGCTATGTTGGAGACACATTATGATGCATGATGAACGACACTGGCGACACATCAGAGTCTTACCCTTGACAGGACAACTTTATCTTCCGGGTCCCTAATTTCTACATGCATCCCTAGGCCGTAGACTGTCGGGACATAGTCATTTACATTTCTATCAAAGATTTCAACTTTGTACCTTCCTGAAAAATCAATTGGCAGTATTAGACATGCACAATTAACACAGCTCGAAAATATTGTTGATTGTGTGAAATTTTCAACACTCGTTTTCTCTTTGGTTATCTCAAATAAATTTGAATATGTTCATAAACTTGTTTCATTCTGTCCATATACAATCACTTTCATAATCTCAAAGCAAAACATAAAGGTTATTTTACAAAAAGTAATTTAGGCAAAATCTTACACGTAAATTAAACATGATAAACAGATGAGAAATGTGTGTAAAATTTAGTGGAGGAGCCCCAAAAAGGGGTAGTTTGGTGATCAGAACTACAATTTTAGACATACACCGTATTACTTTTCTTTTGAGTGAGTTGTGTTAACCTCGCTTTAACATCATTCCAGTTGTATCACAGTGTGCCAGCTTAATGTGGGAGGAAAGCCGAAGTGATGCAGGTCTCAGAACTTTACCACTTCGGTGAAACCCACGAGCACGGCAATGATGCTGACAAATCTAGAAACACAGCGTTAGAAATTGGCACTAGTCCTGTAGTCCTTACCAAACTGCCCAATAGTAAAGGTATCCTAAGGACTAGTAGAAATTAGCCCATTTTAAGGGTTTTGCTATATGTTATCATTATAAGGACTAGTGGATAAAAACTGTTAGTTTCTAACCCTGAAACATAATCAGGGCGAACCGGGATTTGAAACCACAGTGAATCGCCGCACCTTAGACGACTGGGCCATCCGTGCCCCCACTTTTCTTCTGAAATATCATGATCATATTCACTATTTCTAGATATGACAAGTTATTCAAAATTAACATTATAATTAAAAAACCCAGCAGAAGTATTAATTCCATCTTTTTAAAATCTCACAATGATGTTTTCTTGTCTTCACAACTTAATTCTCTCTAAGTTAACATCTCTATAATTTTACATATTGAGATAAGAGATTCTAGTCATGCCTATACTTGTTACTGAACTCAAATTCTGATGCTTTTTTTCGCAAACTCTTGAAGTCATGAACAATTTCTGTTGTTATCTACAGAGAGAAACAACACTTTAAATTGTTTCTGGAAATCTATTTAGTACGTGAAAGCACAGATCATAGTTTATTGTCGGCACTAATAGAAGCCATAAAATTGCATCAACATAGCAATATTGTCAAACCGTCTGTAACATGATAGATTAAGATGGACTGTTTGAAAAGGTGCAATTTTTAAGCGGTTATCTGTTGAGCAGAACCAGTAATAATTTAAAAATGTACTTAGTCAACACATATGGTGGATCCAGATCCATTATTCGAACATATTGTGTTGCCTATTCATTGCTAGGCATGCTGTTGCTACTGACCATGCTACGTCCGTCATGTTTATGCTTTCCGAAACTTATAATCACCGAAGTATTAAATTTAACCGAATTTGTAAACAAAACAGTGATGGTTATACGCAATATGTTATCTGTCTGACAGCAATTTAAGGCTACGTGGAACTGTGCATAGTAACGTGTCCTTAGTTAGGAAACGACTTCCTGTCACAGCCGGCGACTTCTGAAAGAGTTCAAATTCAAACCAGACTCCTTTTACAAACTTACCAACAACCATTGTTTCATCCGGAATTTCTTCTATGAAACATTTCTTTTCTGTTTCACCAATGTGAAAATATAAGCCTGAAACAACTGAAAATGTTGCAAGAGAAACCAGAAAATACGACGTGCACGCCATCTTGCCACTTGGAACGGAAGTTGAATGAGGTTGAGTCTGCGCCGCGCACCTGCCACGTAGCTTTCTGGAAACGGAAGTATCGATTATACAGTTAATGTTGTTAACGATAGTCTGGTTAAACGGGTGCGCGAAAACAGCATCCCTCAAACACAGCCTATTGATGCGCTCGTAAAATAACAAATAGAGGCATTCAGGAAACTTCAACGAAAGCTTATTTCAAGAGCTTAGAGCTAAAAGGGGCAAAAATGCACTTTGGCCCTTTTTGCTTATTATTGCATAAATAACATCGATGAGTTATTGTCTACCTGTAGAAAACATATTGTATGTTTACATTGATGCGTTTTTTAAATATAGCTACTTAAAAATCTATAAAAGGGCCAAAGTCAAGTTCCAAAAGGGCCAAAGTCACTTTGCTAGATTTTTGCCATTTTAGCTCTCATTTCCGTGTGTGGTTGAGACTGGTTGTCTGAGAGAGATTTTGAAAGTTTGGACACCTTATTATTATATTTCAACTATTACAACAAAGTTGGCAACATTAGTTTAAATCATTTAAAAGTATTTCAATAGTATGTGTTTGTACTTTCAGTAGTAGTTTATCAATCTCACATGTTAAATCCCATGCAAATGCCTGAGGGTCAAAAAGGGCCAAAATACAGACATTGGCCCTTTCCACCCTTACACAAATTAAAAACGTAAGTTTATGTCCTTTTTTGAATGTTTTTTATAACAACATTTTATATCTCTGCTGTCAGAATGCTTTAATGTCTAGGAATTTATCGGTAGATAAAAAGTTAATTAACATGCATGATATTTTGTGTTTTCATCACTTTTCTCAAAAGAGACTCTACATGACAATGGCCCTTATGGCTCTAAGCTCTTCATTTGCAGATTCAAATAGTTTATTTATAAAATCTACAAATTAATTTGGCAATAAAAAATAAATCCACCACGACGATAACTAACCTATGTTGTGTTTTGTTTCTTTATGATTGCACCTAACAGACTGAATGGATTTTGAAAAGCAAAGAAGGGCCGCAGACGCCGCTGCTTTCCGTTAGGGCGGAGGGACAGCCTTGGGGTTAAAGCGTTCGCTCATGTCACTGAAGGAACCGTTTCCATTCCCTACATGGTTGCAATGTGTGTGTTGAGCCCATTCTGGTGTCCACCGTTATATTGCTGGAATATCGCTTGAAACGGAGCAAAACCATAACCACACACTCACCATATACCATGTGAAAGATCCCTGTCATTTACAGAATCCAACACGGCCTTTTATTTGGAGAGGAACGGGCTGTCTTCTCTTGAAATAAGTTTAAATATCTATAGATGTAACAGGGGCGTTGGGGTAGCCTAGCGGTTAAAGCTTTCGCTCGTCACGCCGAAGACCGGGTTCGATTCCCCGCATGGGTGAAGCCCATTTCTGGTGTCCCCCGCCGTGATATTGCTTGAGCGGCGTAAAACAATAATCACTTACTTACTATAGGTGTAACAGGGTCAGAGGCCAAGTGGTTAAAGGGTTGGCTATCCCCGTAGTAGGCTCAGGTTTGTTTCCCCATATGGCTACATCCATAATGAGGTATAATTCTCCGCCATGACACTTCTTGAGTGTTACTGATGTTGCTATTAAGCAGCGGAAACCAAAACGTACATACATGTGCTCGAATACTGATGCATCGTACACAATGACGACAACGGTAATATGTAACGGTAACCTCATTGTATTATTCTTAAGTGTTCGTCATTATCTTGTTTAATCTTTGAATATAATCCCCTCAGATGGCTGTGTAATTGCATGAAGGGGTAGTTTTGTTTGTTTGTTTGTTGTTTAACGCCGCACTCGGCAATATTCCAGCTATATGACGGCGGTCTGTAAAATAATCGAGTCTGGACCAGACAATCCAGTGATTGACATCATGAGCATCGATCCACGCAATTGGGATCGATGACATGTATCAACCAGGTCAGCGCGCCTGACCACCCGATCCCGAAGTGGTAGTACTAATACTTATGCTATTGGTGTGGTATTGAACTAAATTTTCATAAACTTAATTGCTTATATGTAAACAGAATATATTCAATATTCCAAAGAAAACTTCAAAGCGTACACGTTCCTAGTCACATGACGGGTCTGAACATCACGTGACACAGCGAGCTTCACACTGAAAGAAATGCATTTGTCATATTAAAGTTAGACTAACATTTAGTCTCTGAAATCTTATATTACACAATATCCTTCTTGACTCTAAAAATAAAAATAAAATTCCCTATGCTGATTTCAGAGCTAGCTTGAGCTGGCTAGACTTGCTTTTGTATGCATTTCTAGATTATGTTTTTTTCATAAAATAAATATATTCCACGGTCATGGTGCAGGTCTATATTAAAGTCATCGCCGGGAAAACCACGTTCAAGGGACGCAACTCTAGCATGCCTCGTGAACCGAGGTATTCAACTTGTTAACGTTATTTTACTCGTATCAACTCCACGATCGAACCACTTGACATGTTATTATCTTTTCACAGTTGATGAACAAAATATTGTCTATTGTAAACTTAAGTTCACTTAATACCGTATTTGTCGAATCGAGGCATGCAGAGAAATGAGTCATATTGCTAGTTTCACTGTATTGTAATGTTTAGAATTGCAATGTTACAACGTCAGTACTAAAACCGTGAGGCCAAAGACGTATCAGTGACAATGCGGACATCGCCCGCTTTTTCTCACAGTACGCGTTCCGCGTGTATGAAAGAATTCATTTCCAGCATACAGGGGACTTCAGTTGTGTGACGTGGTGCACGTGGACATCTTGTTTCATGTGTATTCGTCAATAAGCCAAATCGACTGATTCACGAGCAAACATTCCACCCCTGTAGTTGATATCGACTGCACGGATTATGCAGATCCGCGGGTTCAATTTTCAGGTCATGCTTTTTCAAGTTTTCAAGATTGTTCAACATTACAAATGTCCCCAGCTACAGTTTAATGTGTTCTGTATATAGATATATTGCTGCGGGCATGAAGACTACAGTTTACTTCTGTATTTTATCCAGGTGGAATGGCGGCTGATAGACCCCATCCACTTGGAGGCCGTTTCCTTGAATTTCTTGTCAGTGCGTGAGTGACTGAATGTGGTTTTACGCCGCTTTTAGCACTATACCATCAATATCGCATCGGGGGATATCAGAAATACCCGACCATGTTAGTCGTCTCTCAAGCATTGTCGGCTGTCACGGCAAGAACGGGTTGCTGAAGAACTATTCTCACCCGGAACGTCACGGGTCAAACTTATAAGTAACTATTCAAACGTAATCGGCAGAAATCATTAACTGTAACTGCCCTGACCCTTATTAACGGCCCGGTTCTCATTTGAAAACCCGACTTCTTGTCCGGCTCTTAATAGAGACCCACTTTTTAAAGCGGAGTGAGTGAGTATGGGTTAACGTTCAGGGGTGCCCAGATTCAAACACAACCGCAGCGACCCTCTGAGTGAGTGAGTGAGTGAGTATGGTTTTACGCCCCTTTTAGCAATATTCCATCTATATTCCGGCGGGGGACACCAGAAATGGGCTTCACACTTTGTACCCGTGTGGGGAATGGAACTAGTGCTTTCGGCGTGATGAGAGAACGCTTCAACCATTTGGCTGTAGTGGATACATGGAGGAAATAAGCTGTTATCATTATGATAACGTTTGACAAACTAAATCACCGAAACGTATTTGATAAGGCTGTGACATAAAAGCTCGTTTGACAACAGAAGGGCTCTGTCATGGTATCGGTCCAATTTCTGATACGTCTGTCCAAAAAACGCACCAAATAATGGTACAACCATTATATGAACTCTAACATGCGCAAGTGAAATATTATCCTCAGCAAAAAAGTTATAATATATATCCTGTTATCAAGTAACGTACTGTATTACGCCGGAAACATCAATGGTATCTCGACAGAATCAGACAACGTTGACAGGAAAAGTTGTAAAGGGAAGTTAATCATCCAGCAATCTTAATTGTATTTACCAGCTGACTTCATTGAGACTTATTTTGTAATAGTGAATGGACTTGTCAAGGAAGTTCTGCCATGTCACATCCTGGTACACAGTCAGGGACGAGGCCAAATCCCGATCGCAAAACACGTTTAAAAAAAAAAAAAATTGAAACCTTGTTAATCCGGACATATAGCTCCCAGAATTGTTTTCCTGATTAACAGAATAATGAATCCCGATCACAATGCCCCCGTGTATGCACATGCGTTCAGCCCCTGTCAATACCCAGTAAGAACTGGTCTTCAGCAACCCATACTTGTAACTAAGAGGCGACTAACGGGATCGGGTCAGGCTCGGTGACTTGGTTGATGCATGTCTTGGTATCCCAATTGCGTAGATCTCCTGATGCCAATCACTTGATTGTCTGATCCAGATTCGATTATTTACAGACCGCCGTTGTATATCTAGAATATTGATGAGTGCGGCGTCCAACAAGAAAGAAACAAAGCATATGAGGTCCTATCTGTACATGTTCATGAGAAGGATTGTTCGGACTTACGGGATTTTACCTGTACACTGTACATTATGTTATATATGTACAGTGCCTTGAAATATGTACATACACACTATGATAGGGCTGACACACCATTGTAACTATTGTGAAACAACAAATCTTCAACAATGTTTCATTTTACGTCTATCGAAACTATTAACAGTGTAGCGAGAGCCTCGATTTTCAGCCTGTTGTTCCTAAGCATTGTATTGCATGGGGTGGACTATATAATATCTTGTCGAACTCGTCCAAATTTCGTATTAAAATGTACATATATTGAAACGGTTATTGTTAAGCTTTTATATCTGAAAGACGTTGAATCATAAATGTTAAACATATAGAACGCTACTGACAGACAAAGATGTATTTCGCATTTTCAACCTGGTACAAAAGTATGCCGAACAATGTTTATGTTTGGTGCATGTTCCTCATTCTGTAACAATAGTACCATAGCAATCGTTCCACTCGCATGTTTCATTCTGCTCAGTTATGCGTGTATACTAAAGTGTGTACGGGACAATATGCTTGGTATCGACCTTATGCAGACAGAAAGTGAAAACGACAATTTTACGGCCCGGACAAACTCGGTAAACCAGCTGTTACAGTTTGAATAACCGGAAGAGCCTTTTGTTTCCAAAATGGCCCCCATTCATCGCCGACACCTGTGCTCGCCGCAATATGGCCTCACACAAAGCACACGTTAAATCTTATTGAATCTCAGCAGCATCAAATCTCACCAGCTGGCATCAGACTGGACTGGGCTCACGTCTAGCAATATCTGTAGGTTAAATATGCCCATGCGGTCGCGCATCTCCGCAGCGGTAATAGTCACGTTTCAAAGGTTTCACGGCGCATTGTATTTACACAGATGGTCATTATTAAGCCGATTGTTGGGCTTATCTGATTTTGTGGAGATGGAGCGTTGGACACGCGCCACTTGAGAGTCCATTGTGTTTCAGGTGCTTGAGTGACCCATCTGCCCTGCTGGTCTGAGACAATATAGTTGCTGACGACAATATATTGCCATGATTTTACTATTTGGCTTCATTGGCCGCCAAAACACGTAGATACTCAAAGCTCATAAGGTGACGTTCACTATAAGATTTCGATTAAATGTATTTTAGTAACTTCAATAAAAAAATCAGTAATGAATTATTTGTTTGCCATCCCTCTGTATACACACCGGTGGTCGAGGAGGGGAAATATTAAGGTAAGGTGAGGTGGAATGGGGTTTAACGTCGCGTTCAAGAATATTGCACTTACATAGTGACGTGTATGAGATACCAGTTTAACATAAATACCCCACTCAAACACAGTATACTGACTCCGACCAGTCTTTGTTTTAGCCCCTTAATGCCGAGCGCCAGGCAGGGTAACAGCAAGTACCATCTTTTTGTATGACGCGGGCGGGGATCGAACACCCCACATTCCACTCTCCGGGTGGACGCTCTACCGTTAGACCACGGAGGCGGTCTTGCACCTGAAAGGGCTTGTTATAAAAGTTATCTAGGATATTCTTCAATGTGCAATATGGGCGGTGACTAACCAGTTAACTATATGTGACAAGAATACTATTTGGCATTTACTGACGAGCAAAATTGAATCTTGAATAGAAATTCCTTGCATTTTCTTCCTTTTTGGTATATTGTTTTGGTTGCATACCACTCATGGAGTTGAGAACGAAATATGAATGCTCCGGGGTCAGTTTCTATAAACACGTGGAGTGGCGCACTGTGATATCTAAATTGACTTATTATCATTGTTATGCTTCCCTATAGACCAACTTCGTTAACACGGACACATCAGAGATCAGATATAACTGACCATTCACATTCAAGCTGATGACAATTTTTCCACACAGCTGCGAGTTTTCTAAAAAGTTGTGGGGTACACGGGTGGCCAAATGGTGAATGTACCGCCACTCGCCATGCAGATGTTCGACCCTGGGCCGTGTCAAAGCGACATTAAAATGAAGTCACTCATATCTTATCGCATTATGTTTGTACTGTGACAGGTCCCCTAAGTCTACTCCAACGCGTGTACCTATAATCATTAGCCCCTGATTACATGCCCGTGACCTTTGACCTATGAGGGAGTGGAACAGCACCACTTATCCCCTAACTAATGCTCTAATCGCTGGAGTTAGAGCCTCTCTCTTATCGCCTATGTCTGAAGATCAAGGGTTAATATCGCCTTATGTAACACCAGTAATAGCTGATTATTGCACGCACGACACACGCCGGGTGTTATAAACATGATCACTCCATTATTATGTCCTATAGGTTATAACGGATGCCAGAGCAAGCCATCTTGGAGTTTATTCAAAAGAAAGGTGTTAAGTACTGTTAATGTTGACAGTTTGTGTTCAGGTTAAAGTGTTGGAGAAATGCGCTTTTTTAAAATAGACAAAGAGTATTCACATACCTGAGTAATTAACACCGATATCTAAATCTACACACGTGTACTCTAGTCATGCGAACGTATTCACACATGTACAGAGAAACCTCCTTAGTCCGGAAACCCACGTATCGGGACAATGGTTTAAGGAGCGGCTACATATGTATATCAGAAGTCGTTACTTCGTGACAATGGTTCGTTCATCCGGACATGTGTTTCTCTTTGAACGGATTAATGAGGTTTCACTGCACCTCCTCTGATGGGAGAAAACGTACATGTACACGATCAATATGTGTTGGAAATGTGAATTTGCTCACACATACCTGGGAAAGAATGTTAAGCACCGTGTTCCTCGTATTTCTATATAAAATAGTCTTATTTTAAACTCGTATCCAATATTAATGTTCTGACACACTGATACTAGTATACAGGAGAACTTAGAATAGGTCTTCGCAGGCTCGCTGACTTGGTTGATGCATGTCGCCGTATTCCAATTGCGTGGATCGACGCTCATGCTGTCAGACACTGGATTGTCTGGTCCAGACTCGATTATTTACAGACCGCCGTCATATAGCTGGAATACTGCTGAGTGCGGCGTTAAACAACAAAGAAAGAAAGAAAGAAAGAAATACAGGAACCGAAATCGATCATATAATGACATATTTTGCAGGTCTCCCACGGAAATAGCTATGTGTTTACCCTGTCACCAGTTTCCTCCGCTTCCTGCATCACGCGATATGGCACATCACGTTAACGGGGGCACAGGTGGCCCTGTCATCTATGGCGCAGTAATTAACCGTTGCGTCCCCAGGGCACGCCGGAACCTTTGATTGTTGGTTCGAATCCCGATTATGTTTCTAGGTTTGTCTGTACCATACTCATGCCAGAGTGCCAAAGTGGTTGACACTTGCATAAGCTTGGGCTTTCCTCCACATTAGGATGACACGCCATGGTATGAATGGGATACTGTTCGAAGCGGCGTTAAACCCAACTCACTCACTCAAAATTTGCATTATATCATATGACCCATTATTGCGACCATCTGTAGTAGGTTTATCGGTGGTGTCATAGACCTTTATCAAAATGAGATCAATTTCAAGCGTAGATATCAGTGAAATATACATGGATGTTCCTGACATGTAAAACCACAGAAGAGGTGGTGCCAATCTTTACACAAGTGTGTATATAAATATACGTACGTGAGCGTACTTCATACGCACCGAATAAATTAAAACTGAGAATGACTGTCCCGGGGAGTATTCTTTCATAGGTCTAACGCGCATATATTTGCTACTGATTTGTGTTGTTTGTTGTTTAACGCCGCACTCACCAATATTCCAGCTATATGACGGTGGTCTGTAAATAATCGTGTCTAGGCCAGACAATCCAGTGATTGACATCATGAGCATCGATCCACGCAGTTGGGATACGATGACATGCATCAACCAAGTCATCGAGCCTGACCACCCGATCCCGTTAGTTGCCCCTCTCACAACAAGCATAGTCGCCTTTTACGGCAAGCATGGGTTGCTGGAGACCTATTCTAAGCCGGATCTTCATGGGTCTATTTACCACTGATTGATCAACAGTGTACATACGCGCTCTCAGAATAGAAACAACCAATTTTACGCCCACGTATCTAATTTGCGAAGTGAGTTTATTACTACAGCTTGTATCTAATACAAACAGAATTTTGTCTTGGGAGATGTGACAAATAATATTTTCATCTCAAAATTGAACAGAATGTGATTATTGTACCACTGCATCTCTTAAAATATAAGTGGATGTATTATTTTAATTGGCACCAGGGAAGTAAGTTAAAATAATATTTGATATAAACCATGACTTTGACATTTCGCTTGCCCTCATTTACTTCCCAGTTATTATAAGTATTCATAGAGATTTAAAATCCAACCCACGTGCGTTCATGCTATTGGTATTCGTCGCATACCGCACACAATAGCCTTGTTACTATTTATATCCTCCATGACGTATAGTCAATCGATAATAGTCACGTGTTGAAGAACAGGGCGCGCCGATTGGATCTAATTTGAATCAATATCTAATCAATATTAATTGCCTAGAAGAGCCAACAACGCTACTGATATCAACAAAAGACGTCACAGGGTCTTACAGCGAGTCCGATACAGCTTCCGCGCTGACAAGGAGCCTTTGACAGTGTTTGTGATATAGAGGTCTTTGCGGTATCGTATCACGAGCGACTGGCTGACTGACTGGCCGGCCGATTTATATATACAATCACCACAGTCGCGAGGTAGACAAGAAAAGAACCGGCACAGAGAGAGTGTGTGAGCGAAGCAAGGAAATAGCGACTAACAGGACTCGTTGCTTTAGTGGGGCAACTCTCTCTCATTGATATTTAATACACCTTGCTTGCTGCAACGTTTAACGCAGTTCGTGCAGTGTCATTCAACGAGCAGCTGATTTGGTCATTCCTCGGTGTGTTGTCAGTGCCGACAGAAGGCGACGGCGTCCAGCGTTGTCAGAGACTGACCGGCTGTGATGACCACCAACGTGATGTACAGTGACATGGCCGGAATACAAGCCCACCTCTCTCCGTCCCACCTCCTGCCGAAGATAGGAAGTGAACAGCATAAAAAACTAGAGGCGAATTTCCGTCAAAATCGGAATCCCTCGGACTTAGATGTGACCTTAATCGCTGCTGAGGTCGGATTAGATGAGGAGCAAGTCAAGGTAAGAATAATAATAATAATAATAATAATAATAGTAGTAGTAACAACAACAATAATAATAATAATAATAGTAGTAGTAGTAGTGGTAGTGGTAGTAGTAACAACAACAACAATAATAATAATTATAATAGTGATGATAATAACAACAACAATGATAATAATGATAGTGATAATAATAATGAAGTGATTTTATTGTGAAATGCCAATTATGATTAAAAAAAGCATATAAGAATAATGATGGTTAGAGTAACAATGCAGATACAATTCAATTTGTTTACTTATCTTCAATAGATCAACTAAACAAGTACGATCCCGCGAGGGTGAAGTTTACAATGATACAGCCATATAGACAATCTACAATCTCGTTTTGAATCGGTTATGGGACATTAAACATGACGAGTAAGCATGGATGAGCAAAATATTAAAGCGATCACCACTGATCGCCACCGTGTTTGCCTTACGCTATTTATCACCGATGTCTACCGTGTCAGAGTGCCCTACTTATAGTATAGAAGCAAGCAAGCTCTCGAAATCGCTGTTCGTTTGTGTGTAAAACTGAATTGTTAGCCGGCGAGCGCTTGAGAAAAAGCTGGTTAAAGCACTTCAACACGTGTCACCGATAGCTAATAGTGTAGGGCCTGCAAAGACCTATTCTATGAATACCGCCTGCAGTTGTTGGTATTATTTATTCGTGTTAGTTCTATCCATATAAAATATTGTTGTCCGTGCATGTTGTCGCCATGTTTACACTAGTGACAGTTGATTGATTGAAATCTACAGTGTTACCTACAAATGACAGCTGATCAAAGCCACCGCCTAGCTTATAACTAATGCTGTTGTCAAACATTCACCGCTAACTTGGAAATCAGATCTCCAGACAAGTGACCACTTAAAAATAACCCAGATAGATTTCTTATAATCAATAAACGTTTAGACCTGGAACTCGGTGAAATAGACAACCCCGAGAAGGATATATGCAAATAACAAGCAATGAGGAAGTACAAATGCAGCACAAGCGAGATAGGTAGGGGGCACAGGTGCCTAGTCACCAATAATCTTCATAAATCAATCACAATGTATGTGTGGCGGATTTAATCTTACCTTCTCCAATTTACATCCACGGAATATATAAAACGTAATTTTATTGTGATAAAATCTTGTTCAGTGTAACATTTGTCCTGATGCAACTTTTATTCTGGTACAAATGACTTTGCACGATCGGGTAGCTAGTGGTTAAAGCGTTCGCTCGTCACACCGAGCGTTCGCTCTTCACATGGGTACAATGTATGAAGCCCATTTGTGGTGTCCCCCGCCGTGATATTGGTGGAATATTGCTAATAGCGGCGTAAAATCAAACTCACTCACTCACATTTAATTAGTAGGGATGAGTGAGTGAATGTGATTTTACGTCATATTTTCCTATGGTTACATAACTGAATAAACATTTGGCAATGCACAATAGCGTCAATAATTAGGTAATCTCTGGACCACTTACATCAAATGTCAATCACCAACAAACACGGTTCATGAGTTTAACATGACGATGTTATGTAATATACTGCAGGCGGACCTCAGCATTGTGTTCCGCTGCTGGATACCAGGTACACTCGTCCATACCCCGCAACAGTTACAACAATCGCTTGTTTCAGTGTCTGGAACTGACGGGATACATGTACATTACCCTGGTGTCACTGCTGTGCAGGTTGTGTAATGTACATGCTACATGCATGCCCGTCATGCGTTGACATTTGATGAAGTAGATGTCAATTTCATATCTCCCCTGTGACTATCCGGGTTGCAATTGGTCTTCAACAACCAATACCTTTCGTAAGAGACGACTAACGGGATCGGGTGGTCAGACTCGCTGAATTGGTTCGTGCATGTTATCTCAGTTGCGTAGATCGACGCTCATGATGTTAACCACTTGATTATCTGATCCAGATTCGATTATTTACAGACCGTCATAAAAGTGGAATATTACTGAGTGCGGCGTTCAATAACCAAAAAGAAAATACAAAATTCTTTCTGACATACATGTTATTATATTTTACAGACTGAAACTTTGAAACAACAGTAATTGGGACAGTTATTTCGTACTGATTAAACACTGTTTTGGATTAACAAGGTGCGATCGGGTAGCCTAGTGGTCAAAGCGTTCGCTCGTCACGCCGAAGACCCGGGCTTGATTCCCGACATGGTAACAATTTGTGAAGCTCATTTCTGGTGTCCCCCGCCGTGATATTGCTGGAATATTGCTAAACGCGGCGTAAAACAAAACTCACTCACTTGTATTACCAAATACCTGGTAAGGTCTATTGTATATACGTAGACGATGCCTACGGTAATTGTCTGTGGGAGATTCCCATCTAACGGGGTTCGGGTTAACGGGGGTTCACTGTTCTCAGTAAATATACCAATGCTTTAGGGGTATTAATGTCACCTGTCATCGGCCGAACAATCGAAAAAAACACGGAACCGATTAACTAAACACAACACACACACACTAGTCATTGTAACACAACCGATGCTACAGGTGTTAGCGATACTCTGCATGAGGATGTAACAGAAATTGTCGACATCTTGAAACCATGATATGCTTTACAATATTGTACAATGCATCTAGTGCATTATTAGTATATTATATACATATGTTGATGTGATGTTATGGAGGACGTTACTTCATGCTTAGCTTGTGTTATAACATGGTAACGACCCGTGCTACTATGTCTCAAGATGTACATTGCGTAGACAATTCTGGGGTAAGCCTATGCACATATGTTTATGCATAAATAAAAACAACTCAGATAGCAATAATTTAGGCCTGTGTACTTGAAGTTACCCAAAGCGTCTTCGCTGTCTGACAAGTCAATTGTTACGAATGCAGTAACAATGCACTGACACATTACACTGAAATGTATTTTTTAACCAGCCGCTTAATCTCAAGAGGCCAAGTGATAAAGGCCTTGTAAATATCCTCCTATAGTAGTCTGTGAGTACTGGGTACAAGTGACAAAGGCGTTGTAAAACAGCTATCTATAGTAGTCGGTGGGTACTGGGTACAAGTGATAAAGGCCTTGTGCAATAGCCTCCTAAAGTAGTCGGTGGGTACTGGGTACAGGTGACGAAGGCCTTGTACAATAGCTATCTATAGTAGTCGGTGGGTACTGGGTACAAGTGACGAAGGCGTTGTACAATAGCTACCTATAGTAGTCGGTGGGTACTGGGTACAAGTGACGAAGGCGTTGTACAATAGCTACCTATAGTAGTCGGTGGGTACTGGGTACAAGTGACGAAGGCGTTGTACAATAGCTACCTATAGTAGTCGGTGGGTACTGGGGACAAGTGACAAAGGCCTTGTACAATAGCCTCCTATAGTAGACGGTGGGTACTGGGTACAAGTGATAAAAGCCTTGTGCAATAGGTTCCTAAAGTAGTCTGTGGGTACTTGGGACAAGTGACAAGGGCCTTGTACAATAGCTACCTATAGTAGTCTGTGGGTACTTGGTACAAGTGACAAAGGCCTTGTACAATAGCTACCTATAGTAGTCTGTGGGTACTTGGGACAAGTGACAAAGGCCTTGTACAATAGCCTCCTATAGTAGTCTGTGGGTACTTGGTACAAGTGACAAAGGCCTTGTACAATAGCTATCTAAAGTATTCGGTGGGTAGTGGGTACAAGTGACAAAGGCCATGTACAATAGCTATCTATAGTAGTCGATGGGTACTGGGGACAAGTGACAAAGGCCTTGTACAATAGCTACCTATAGAAGTCGGTGGGTACTGGGTACAAGTGACAAAGGCCTTGTACAATAGCTACCTATAGAAGTCGGTGGGTAGTGGGTACAAGTGACAAAGGCCTTGTACAATAGCTATCTAAAGTATTCGGTGGGTAGTGGGTACAAGTGACAAAGGCCTTGTACAATAGCTATCTATAGTAGTCGATGGGTACTGGGGACAAGTGACAAAGGCCTTGTACAATAGCTATCTATAGTAGTCTGTGGGTACTGGGTACAAGTGACAAAGGCCTTGTACAATAGCTACCTATAGTAGTCTGTGGGTACTGGGGACAAGTGACAAAGGCCTTGTGCAATAGCTATCTATAGTAGTCTGTGGGTACTGGGTACAAGTGACAAAGGCCTTGTACGATAGCTATCTATAGTAGTCTGTGGGTACTGGGTACAAGTGACAAGGGCCTTGTACAATAGCTACCTATAGTAGTCTGTGGGTACTGGGTACAAGTGACAAAGGCCTTGTACAATAGCTACCTATAGTAGTCTGTGGGTACTGGGTACAAGTGACAAAGGCCTTGTACAATAGCCTCCTATAGTAGTCGGTGGGTACCGGGTACAAGTGACAAGGGCCTTGGACAATAGCTATCTATAGTAGTCGATGGGTACCGGGTACAAGTGACAAAGGCCTTGTGCAATAGCACCTATAGTAGTCGATGGGTACTGGAGGACAAGTGACTCACCAGGGCTGGGCTTATATACCATGAAATACGTCAGTTGTAGGACATGTATATATCACAGCGCTCGGTGTCTGCTGCTGTCAACAGTGACATGTGCTCGGCTTACTATCTGCCGCGCTGTAGTGATATGAATATATCCACAAAAGTAATGAAGGTTAGTCGCACAGTTGTATATGTATATTAGGTGCAGAAATAAACCAGGGCTGTGGTAGTCTGTTTCATAGTCACTCTAGCGGTGAATGGGTGCGTTCGGGAGTATGTGAATCCCGTGTTGACCCTTGAGGTTACGCTAATTTAGTCAAACCTTTTAAATCCGGACCCCGCCTCCCCCTCGTTAATACGGCTATTTGATGACCAGGACGATTTCACTGGGAATAATTTACAGTCCGGAGTGGCTGGGTTTCACTGTTTGGAGAAATGGCTCATTAGCCTGATAGTACAGTGGATGGCATATCAACCTGGACGGTTTGATACGGTCGTTCGTATTAGCAGGTTTCTGGATTAATAAGTTGTATAGTGAACAAGTAGCTTAT